GCTGGCATCGAACCTGTGGCCCTGGCCATGTGATATCGTATTCGTGCATGATATATATTTGAAAAGGCCGAGATGGGGTACCTGATAAAATTCAACGCGCTCTGGCAGTATACTTCGAGATGCTGACGCTTTCAAGAAAGGTGCATCACCGATTTACCGCGTATGAGTTGAGGCCTGTGCATATTTGGCCCCTGCACAAGGATCCAGAAAGCTGCTAGAACTCTTATCCTTCCCGTCTCGCTTCGTCGCACTCATGAGCGAAAGGTAAAGTGATAACCAAAGCAGCTGTTGGGTCAGCGTTAAGACTAGCCTGTGTGGCTGGCTAGCACTAAGTTTGGGGGCGAAACGCCGCCACCAAAAGTTCTGATGCGAGCTGCAGCTAGGAGAAATCCAAACCAGTCTTACGACTGGCAGCCGCAGACCCCAACAGTATCACCGCCAGGTTCCAGCCGCTGATTAGCGGAAGCAGGGAATCGAGGCGACAAGTGTCAGCGCCTTACAGCTCTCCCCACCAATATCCCAGGCGCTTCCCGGCAGTTGGAAAGACACATCCAGTCACTCCAACCAACCGATACCTTGTTCCAAAGACAGGAATTATCATTGATTCAGCCGTCCGTTGCTTATCGCCATGTGGCCCAGATCGCGCACCGCATTTTCCGTCACACGGCGATCTTGTACAACTCCGCGAGGCTCGTGTAATCAGGCATCATCCCATCAAGCATTTTGCCTATATACTCCGTGGCTGAAAGGCTTTCTATCTCCCCGAATGGAAGTCTATGATGGTTAACTTTCCAAGCTCGTAAAGAACAGGGGGGGCATGGAGCGAACCAGCCTGCCAGGGGAACTGGAGAGCGAAGAATAACCGGGCAAAAAAGCAAAAATGAGAAAAGAAAGAACATCACTGGTAAACGGCTATCGGCGTACGGCGGACAGAATATGGAGGAAAACGGTTAGAACCAGCGACTAGTGGGTCTCGATACTTGTCCTGGGGCTGAAAATAAATAACGATGAGATCACGTTCTTCGCAGTATTACTATTTGCCCGTTCGATAGTATAGGCCGGGGACTCGGGGAGCATCTGAGGCCTAGCTGGAGCTTCAATTCCCCGGCTCTCCCAGGCTCTGGGTATCAAAGCCTGGCTGCCTGTCCCCGTTTGCTGGGCTCTTAGCGGCTAGCGCTGTTCTTCCATTCCATTATCCCGCTTGTGGAGTTCGGGCCCAGAAGGAAGTGGTTGACGGCGGACGGGGGCGCCAGGCCCGTAGCCCGTACCGTCTGACAAGTGACAAGACACAAAAATATTCATGTGGTGATCCCAGGCGCGACCGTTGCCAATAATCGTCTCGCAAACTATTTTCGGTATCCAGCTTTCGTCCTTGTATCCGATCTCGTAAAGATGGTCAGGGAAAGGTATTGACTGTCGAGTGGATGTCCCGCTGTCTCGCGACGTCTCTTGGCCAGTCAGAGTGTGAATTTCTTGGAGAAACAAGTATCGTGAGATGAAAGATTTGGGGGTGCAGGGGAATTGAGATAAACTTACCGAGAGCAGTGAGTTTGAGCTGTGTGATGGTGTTGGGATCTGGAACTTGGATGATGACGAGGAAGAAGTTCAATCCTCAAGGTCACGGCTTGATTCAAGTAGATGGCAACGAAATATCCACGTCAAAAAATGTGAACAAAAATAATAGAAAAATCTGGGTGCCAAGACTGTAATTTCAAGTCCGCCCAAAGAATTATAATTAAGAGCGTTGAGCATAGGGAATAGGAATGGGTATTATTAGGGACTCAGGGAGTAAGCTGAGCTGCCATAATAAGGCTCCAACAGGCGAACTAAGTCGGTCCGGAACGACTCACGCTTATTCGTTTCTTGTTCATCCTTTATTATTATTATACCAGGCTGTTGTTCACTTTCCAGCGGTGGACCTTTTAAATACTCTCTTCCGACCAGTCTGGGGATGGCTTCAACTTGCTGTGTTTAGAGTCCCGAACGCCAACCGTCTCCGCTCCTCATGGTGCTCAAGCTACGAGCTTTCGATCAATAACAATAATGTAGGTCCTCTTGTCTCCTATATTGTTTCACCGTCTTCCCTCGTTGACAGTTGGGCTTGTTTCCCCTGTCTGTTTGTGCGCTGCAACTCTGGTTTGTATACTTGATCCACCTGTCTCATACTTGCGCCTTGTCTTTTCTCCAGAAAAGTATTGGGTTACTGCCACTTTTAAATCATTCTACCTATGATGTTGCTACTTTATATTCGCCGTTTACTCCAGGGTCAGGGAGGCCATCTATCAAATTCGCATACCCCTCCTTAATACGAAAGAACCAGAGAGTGGGCGCTCATCTTAGTGTCCGGAAACTGACCAGCTCTACTTTCTCAGTGATGCAGCTCAGACACTCCTTCTCTTTCTTACTCCACTGGTCACTGTCACTTTGGCTATTGAGGCGATAGGGCATTGCTTTTCGATCCTCGTTCCAGGCTTCCCGGAAATCAGCACAGCCCCGAATCTCGCTCACTGGCGCCTCGTGCACATTGGGCCGAACTTGGTCTCCAGCAATTAAACGACCAAGGCTGTCTGACTTCCTGAAGCCAAATCCATTTCTCCCATCTACTCTTAGGGTCAGAGTCTCGACGCTCGCTGTCGGCCATAAGCTAGCCCTCACGCAACAAGCGAACGGTAAGTCTTATGCCCACCAGCAGCCGGGTTGGGCGTGAGAGTCATAGATTAACTGAGCATAGGCCGTTTCAGAGAGTCAGAAGGGCTTTCGCAGAGTCACACATAAACATGGCACATAATTCATCCAGTACGGTCGAATGCAGGCTCTGTCGTTCGTTGCGCTGGGTTCTAACTTGAGACAGATTACAGCTGGCAACACCGATCGCCACAACCCCTCCACCCATCTACTATATCTATGGATCAACAGAGCTTTCCACAGCCGCATGGACTTTCCTCACATCCGGGGTACCCTGCAAGTGTAGGGTACCCCTCGCACCATCCCTCTGCATCCCCAAATTACTACCAACCCGGGCCTTCATCTTCGCAATATCTCTATTCACAGCACACCGGTGCATCACAGAACCGCCATCATCCGAGAAGGTATCCTTGCACTGGTTTACTTGGCTGATCCCGGGCGCCAATGGCTAACGAACGGGCTTGACCAGTACATCGATACCATACTCATTCAGCAGTACCAGCTCAGTTCCCACGAGCTCCCCACCGATGCAAGAGCATTTATTTACCTCATCGTGAGTATTGTATTCAACAAAGTGCTGGTGGCACGATGCTAATACGGCGAGTCAGGCCACCCTCGTATTTAGTCAACTCAGAGTATTATCTCGCTCAAGGCTCTCCAATGCCGTAAGCTTTCCTTTGATCTAACCCTTTCACGCAGCACACTAACATTCCATGAACTGTCAGCTCAAACACCGGATCGCTGGCCGCTAGTCCTCACCCACAATCTTTCCCGTCCTCAGGAACAGTCTATTCGTCGCCCGATTCTGGACCTCCTTCCACAGACCCAGCGCCATACCGAGTACTACAAACTCCACGAAAACCAAAATGCTGGGAGCACGGGTGTAATGGCCGCGAGTTCTCAACATTCAGCAATCTTTTGCGTCACCAAAGGGAGAAATCAGGCGCTGTGACCAAGGCAGAGTGCCCCGATTGTGGTGCTGTTTTTACACGTTCCACTGCGAGGAATATTCACCTCGCTCAAGGAAAATGCAAGGCATCCGGAAGAGACCGGTCCAGTCGTTGAAGGACGATCGATAAGGGGACCTGAGATTCGAAGTAAGGACTTCTCACTAGAGAAAACCTTCCCGTGAGCGGTAGATCTACGGAACGTCCCTCTGTCCGTATGAATAACTCGCTCCACGATATACGGTATTTCGCGGACCATATCCTGTCTTCCGCGCGGAATATGCTGAGGACGAGCATCAAGGGCTCGCTTCTTCTTTGCATGGTGGCCCATTGAATATACAGTTAGGGCTAGGAAAGGATAATAAGGCGTATGATCTTGTCGGGCGTCGGTGTTTGGGGGTACTATACTGGACTAGAATTTATCTGAAGCCGCTGAAAAGGCGCAATGACTTGGCTGCCATTGTCCCAGCTCATTATTCGATGAGTCTCTATAATCTTCGAACGACGCGCTGTAGATGGAATATCGGCCTTAATTTCTTCTACTCAAAGGATGGTCTAGTATCTGCGTAAATTAGACTAATTCCTAGCAGCTGCGGCATTTGGATATAGGGCTTTCTCACAAAGTTGCAACCTTTCTTGACCTAAATATGCTCGGGAGACACGGGAAAATTAAGATAGCTTCAGGAGATTTTGCCCGAGAGACATATATATATGTAGACCCACCCTTCATTTTCTCAAGTCCGTGCTTCCTAACAGTTAGCGCGCAAAGAATTGAACCTCGCAACCTGCTCAAGAATGCTTTATACATGAGAGCCTCTTACTTCAGTGGGATAGGCAATCTAACTTCCCAAAGCTCTGCATCAAATTTATGAATGAAAGCGATTGCGACAGGGGACCCTTGCTCACACGTGGTACAATGCTTACGTCATATAGGTAGTTGAAGTTAAAAGTCACATGACCACGTCGTGTCATCCAAGAGCGCCAATGAGACGTCCATCGAGCCTCAAACATCTTGTGACTCATTTTTCACAATGGCATCTATCTTTTGATCATCCTTCTTCTTTGAGTGTGTCGCAGCTTTCTCCTGATAGGAATCTTGCAACCATTGACAGATTGTGTGCCTACACCCACTCTCCGTCCTAACTCAATCGCAGACTGTCTAGTTTCGCCTCAAGATGACTCTATACCAAATACATAGCATACGTGAAGAACTCAGATACTGCCGACATACATCCCGACTGATATCCTGCATACGTGTAGGCACGCGGATATTTGCCTGATCCTGTTGCTGCCCTTGTACCTTTTGCCAACTCATCAATACCCTAATCCGACCCCTTCTTTGTTGGACGTGACTTGATTTGATACAAAATGGCATCTGTTTTCACCTACGACCCGGATCCCCCGCGGGTCTCCTCGCCATGGTCCACCTCAGGATCTTCAACTCCGCAAGTGGCTTTAGCTGGCAATCGAACCGTGGCCGCCCGCACCCGCTCCAGCACGAACTTGGACAGTGCAGGGCATGATTTCCTTTCTGACTACGGAATCTCGAAACTGGAGCCTGAGCCCCAAGAAGGTCCCACGGAGTATAAGCTACATCTCCTTCTACGTCCTCGGCGTCCCTATACTTCAATGTCCACGGGCCACCTCGTGGGTGGGTCTTACCATTCCCGCGCAAGCTTGTCCACATCTGGCCCCGCACCCGCAGCATCCTCTGTAGAGGAGCAGAGCCTGAGGTTGCCTCAAAGCCGCTCGATAGACAGCCGTCAACAGCGCTTGCAGCAGCTGACAACCCAGTTGCTATGGCGTCTACAGCAATCGTCGCCGTTCCATTCTTCTACTACGGCCAATCTGGTGCTTCCTGTTCTGCCAGAAGCAACGCCGAGGTTGGGGGCAACACAGAAACCATCGCGCCTGCTTCCTGGTCTTGAAGAAAGTCAGGGTGCACTCTATGAGATTGGGGTCGCCGATGACGGGACGTTTGTAGGGCTTATCCATGACGAGCTAGAGGAGAGCTTGTCCAATTTGCAAGCCATGGCTGCCAGTCTGGGTTGCAAAGTGGAAGTTCTTCGCAGGGTAGTCGTCGGCGATTGCGAATGGGTTGAAGACTCAGGCGCTGAGGACGCCAATCTAGGCAAAGTGCATGCTGAAGATCTCTGGGTTGCGGAAGCGTTGGTTAGTCCAGACTGGGACTACTACCGTGCAGAACTGTCTATCACTGAATCTTTTGAGAAGATGTCGACATCAGATGCCGCTCCGCAGTCCATACCGGACGGGTACGCGTCCAGCACCAGTCAGATTCGAATCTCTATCGCAGGGCCAAACACTGTCGGCAAATCCTCCCTTCTGGGCACGCTCACATCGTCTGTCTTGGACAATGGAAGGGGAACGAGTAGACTGGGCCTACTGAAACACAGACACGAAATTTCATCTGGTGTAACCAGCTCTGTTGCGCACGAGCTTATCGGCTACGCCCCAACGGCATCCACCGATGGCTTTGATGTGGTCAACTATGCCTCGGGGAACGTCGCAGCATGGGACGATATTCACGCCGCTTCAGAGGGTGGCCGTTTAGCCTTCGTCTCTGATCTTCCTGGCTCGGTGCGTTATCTGAAGTCCACGTTAAGGGGACTGGTTAGTTGGGCTCCTCATTACGTTTTCCTTTGCATTGCTGCCACCTGCGAGGAAGAATCTTCTCTCAGCCTTGGCATCGACTCTTCGGAACAGCCAGTGGATATCAATTTGGCGATGTCGTACCTGGGGCTCTGCAACAAGTTAAACATCCCGGTTGTCGTGGTTATTACTAAGATGGACCTTGCCTCTCGAGCCGGTCTGAGACAAATTCTCGCCAAAGTATTATCGGCATTGAAAGTCTCTGGCAAAAAGCCAGCCATGCTTCCTGTACAATCTAACCCTTCTGCGAAAGGTGTAGACCTGCAGCGCATCAAGTCGGCAGATGCAGAAGAAGTGAGGAAACTCATAGACAAAACTCATGATTGGGCTACAACAGTGCCAATTGTACTCACAAGTGCTGTTGATGGCTCAGGCATAGACAAACTTCATGCCTTGCTTCGCAATCTGCCCATTCCGTCCAGGCCACCTCTCAGGACCATTAGCATGCCGAAGTCACTACAAGTTCCTCAGCTCCCAGCGAGCGTGTTTGATGTTGACGAGGTTTTCGCCATTCCACCGTCAAAGGTATATTCAGAACAGTGCCAACAGAATCACGGTGTGGTTCTCTGTGGCTTAGTCCGTTACGGCTCTGTATCTGTTGGTGATGAGTTGGTCATTGGGCCTGTCGTATCCACCGCGCCATTGGAAAATGGAAGCAGTCCAAGCTCTCAGAGGCTTCGTCCAGACCGTCATTCTTCGCAGTACGGCTCGTACCGCAGCCGACCCTCGTCTGGAGATTTTTCAAACTCAATCCCCTTGGGTTCATACCCGGGGAAAGTTTCTTCACCAGCCCAAATGCTATGGCAACAGGTTCGGGTTGTCAGTGTTCGCAATCTTCGGCTGTCAGTCCAGAAATTGACCGAGGACCAAGTGGGAACAATCGGAATCGAGCCTTTGAGTGCCACGCCCGCCGAGCAACCTCCGCGCCTGGGAAAGTTCCGGAAGGGTGCCATTCTAGCCAGCATGCCAATATCTCCTGAGTCCTGTCCTTTGCTACCCATTACTGGCTTTATAGCAAGTTTCCCCTCCAGCGAGTTCGCGTCATCCCTATCTCCTCCAGTTTTGCTAGGTGGCAATGCGATAGCGTACATCGCAAACGTTCGAACGACGGTGAAATTGACATGTATGGCTCTGGCTGGCGATGAGATCTTCTCGTCTCCACCGTCGCCTGCGGAGTCAGAGTTCTTCAACTTTGACCCTGAGTCGCCGAGCAAGCCGGATGTGAACGAAGTGGTTAGCTCCTCTGAGCCTACCCCGCAAGGCTCAATCGATATAACATTCTCGTTCGTCGCGTCTGCTGAGTGGGTTGAAGTCGGGTCCCAGGTTTTGCTTATGCCGGGAGCGTCAGCTGCGTTGGCATCTGTAGAGGGTTCCACCTCGCCCTCCGGCGTGGAGGGTTTCGTCGGTCATGTTTGTGAAGTACTCTACACTAAAGAGGGTGCAAGCTGATGTTCTTTTGCTATTTACTCTTGCTTACTCTTGTTCTCTATTGTTCTATCTACTGCGTTGATTTTTGTTGTATTCTTGCTATGCTATTCAGATCCTCGCAGAACGTTCTGATAGTATACATACTCTACCTAGACTATCCAGTAAGATAGTGATGTGGCACGTGCGCTGCCCCCACTACGGTTAGCCCCATTGATGCCCCGCCGTGACCGAGGAGCTCCTGCACAGCAACCGTCACTTAGAAGCTTCACTTCTTCCGTAACTTCCTATAGATAACTTCTTCAATTGCCATGGAACAAGACATTCGATCTCTACTACCTGTCTTAGCTGGATGAGCCTCGACGCAGTGACTTGGCAGCCCTAGGTTCAGGTCCTGGGGTGACAGACAACGTTTGCCCGCCTTGGTCCAGCCTTCTGTGATTGGTAGCTTTGCCTTTGTGTTCGGGGTGATTTGCCAGCGTTTCCCGCCGCCGACTTTCTGCCTGCTGCTCTAGGTACGGTAAGCTCATCTGTTTGAAATCCAGCCTCGCCAGTTCCTCTTACATTCGCCTGTTTCCATTTCGAGCTTCCTGCCGACATCAAGGAGCAGGATTTTTCCTTCATTTGATACTCTTGACTATCACCTCGCACTGTCCCGTCTTATGGTTCCGGTCTGCCAACCCGACGCAGTATCATCCCGCCGTTATGGCCGAACTTGGCTGCGCCTATGCCGACACTGGAGCTATATCTGATCTGGACCAGCTATGTGATGAAGAGGATGACCTTGGCTCTTCCGTTAGCACCACATCGGCAGGCGAAGAGCTTCAAATAGAGTCGGTCCAATCTCACACCGAAGAGGCTGCAGAATCCGAGCTCCCCATCCAAGATGGACGCGCTGTACCCACGACAAAATCAGTGCTCACCAACGGCGTTGATGAGAAGAGCCAAGTTTCGGAGATTACCGCAACGAAATGCGACCCGGCACCTGTCGGAGAACCCGGGGGTGCGGCAACGCGTCTGAATCTTTTGGACCTTCCTGTGGATCTTCTACAAGACATCATCAAAGAGGTATGCGCCTTTGCGAGACCGTTCTAAATCCCTACAATAATCGTGCTGATGTATTTTTTTAGGTGACTCATACGAATGACCTTACGTCTTTGGCCCTTACCTGCTCCGCACTCCATTCCCTCGCAGTCCCTCAGATGTACGCACGCTTCGATATCGTCTGGCCGGATGCTTTTCCACAGTCTGATCACCCGGGGGGAGTGGATGCTCTTTCCTACGGCCTGGCGACATTGGTTATGGGAGAAGACATATTCCGGGAAGTACCTGCTAGGCATGTGGCACGCCCTTGTGCCCAGTGCGAGTGCAATAACCCCCAATCGCATGTTCAGCAGGAAAGTGGTCGAATCCGGCGTGGCAACTACTTCGCACAGTATACACGAAAATTCTCGGTCGGAAACGGCCCGCCAGATTGGGTACAGGAATATTCAGTCACAAAAGAGACTGGGAAGATGCTCGGAACTCTCGTTGCTTTAGCCGTGGCGCGGATGGTCAACCTGGAGACTTTTATTTGGGATATGCCGACCGGCGTCGTAAGAGACGTATGGATTGCGCTATCGTCGCTAGCAGACCGAGGGGGGCATGAGTGTCGTTTGGAGAATGTTTGGATACGATGGCACGATAATTCTGAGAACACGGTTCGTCCTTTGTCAGGAGTTCCCACTACGTCTTCATTAACTCTTCCCGAGACCCAGCATGTCCTTGTTCCGCCGACTGCCAGCTCATCTCTTTTCCGGAAATACGGGCATGTAGAATACCCTTCGCTCTCGATACTGCCCCCACTGAAGAATCTGAGTGTTCTTGATATAGATGAGCCATCATACCTTGAGGAAATGGCTGTGCTCATTGGACGCTCGCGAGATAAACTGAGAGAGCTGCGTGTTGGTATCTCCTCAAAGGTTTGTCAGGCTGAGTGGTTAAAGCCACAGGGAGGGACGCATATCGAGCAGAGCGATTCCACTACCGTGTCTGGGTGGCCGAAGGCTGGTGGAGTACTTGGAGCGATACTGGGCTGGCCCGGTCGTCCAACCAGGGAATCCTCATTGAAAGCAGAGGAGCCTGCAAAAGCAGATGATGACAATACGTCTGGAGACGTCACTGTAGTCGCGGACTCAGATACCACGGTTCATACTCTCATTGAGGCTTTTTCCGCGCAAACGCTCAATGCGACAGCGGCTCCTAATCTGGTTGAAGCGCAGGATATCATCGATGCAGGGAATATTCCGAATCTGAGCCCGCATGGAACACAGCCAATACAGATTCCCACGTCCAAAGCTCCAAGAGAGTCTTTGAGAAAGTCTTCGAAAGCAACTAACTCCTCCACATCCGGGTCCAATCGCCCATTGCTAAAACTAGAGGTTCTCGAATTAGAGCGCGTCCCCGTTTCTGCATCAGTACTACTAGACACTATTGACTGGACCCGAATTACCTCACTCACTATACTCCGCTGTGAAGGCCATGAAAAGCTGTGGAGGGGTCTTCGCCGCCGGTTTGCTCCTTCTGCAGCTTCACGCACCGGTCCGAGACACACCGGCAAGGAGGAAGACAAGAGTCTAACGGAATATGCCTTGAGGATTAAACATATCCATACCGACGCCGTTTCGCCGTATTTGTTGCTTTTCATCAAAGACACCCTTCGCCCGGACACTCTGGAGACCGTGTTCCTCCATGGATCACCACTTCATGACTCTGCTGTTCATATTGAGGGAATATACCGGAATGTTATACGGAACCATCGGGCAAGCCTGAGCAGATTGTTAGTAGACAGTACCGAACGATCACCTGCAGGATTGGAAATGAGCAATAACCGGTGGCGGAAATGGATGTTCACGCGAGAGGTCATCACCTTCATAACAAGCGGGCGAATGCCCAAGCTAAGAGAATTGTCGATGACCATAGACTCCAAGGATTGGGTAAGACATTGCCTTTCAATTGACCTGGCATCTGATTTCATTAACATTGTCACTAGCACTACTTCCTACAAAGATTGCCTTACATCCCTCAGCTTCGCGCCCTCCACATCCCCCATATTATCCGTCCAGTTCACCTCGACCTGAAAGAGCTCGCCATGCAGGTCCTTGACATTGTGACCCTCCGGCCGGAGATCAGCATCAGCTACTTGGGCATGCAGAACAAATGTTATGAGATTCTCGAAGGCAAGGGCAATGAGTATGATTTGGCCGAAACGGACGACATCCACAGCGAAGGCTTTGTTCCAGGAGCCGAAAATTGGGCCGGGTCCGAGACGAACGAGGAAGACTCGGACGAAGATGATGAAGGGATCACGATGGATTCTCATTCCGACTTATCGTCGGAAGATCAGAGGTCGCTAGAAGATGATGATTCCACTGACAGCGACTACGGTCGACCGCGCGTGTCTTTCCGCTTGCGCGAGATTCTTTTCTATGACGACAAAATTGCTATTTTCAAAGCCCGGCATGGCGTTTTATGATTCCGGTTTCTGTATAAGCGTGAAGCAGGCGTTGATATCCGACTTACACTCTTGTTGACTGCGAGATACCATGGAGCGATTTTCCAGCAGATTGACTGGAACTATATGTATTCATCGTACTGGATTATTATTTAGATAGCCAATCCGAATTTGTCCTCTTGCACCAGTTAGTCTTTTCCTTGTCCGTAGTTCATTCCTCCACATCAAAGCACGTGACTTGGCGGTCAGTCAGCTTTTGATATCCGCGATAGAGACGAAATGGACGACATGAAATCAACCTGAAGCCAATCACCTAAGGAGCACTGTTGACGGCCGAAACCTCGACTCGTCCGACACAGACTTTCTTCAGCAACTTCGTCGATTCTCGTTTCCCGCGCGCGAAGCCGCAATCTTCACCACCATGAAGCTCGTCCGGTGCGTAAAATCCCGTCGCAGCTCCACGTCGAGCTCGGCTCCATTACCGCAAGAAACCGGAGCTAACACGTCGAATCCAGATTCTTAATGAAGTGCGCCAATGAAACGGTGACCATCGAGTTGAAAAATGGTCTGTTTGCCTCCTCTTCCTCGCTCATTCTACATCCGCTCAACACAACCACCACCGTAACCACCAACGCTAACACTCTTTTCTCCGTGTAGGCACAATCCTCCACGGAACCATTACCTCCGTCAGCCCGCAAATGAACACCTCCCTGCGAACCGTCAAGATGACGCCCAAGGGCCGCGACCCGATCTCCCTCGACACGATCAACATCCGTGGATCCACGATCCGCTACTACATCCTGCCGGACAGTCTGCCGCTCGACACGCTGCTCATCGACGACACACCCAAGCCCAAGAACAAGGCGCGTAAGGAGGCCGATCGCGGTGGACGGGGTGGTGGTCGCGGCGGGCCTCGGGGGCGCGGCCGGGGTCGGGGCCGAGGCCGGGGTCGTGGTTTCTAAGCTCAGCTGGATATTCTATGCTACGGGTGCATTTCGTATTTGGGATCGGATCTCTGGATGCGGAGTTTGTTCTTTTTCTTTTAATTCGACAGTTGTTTTGTTTGGTTGATGTCCGTTGCCATTGCCGCTTTTACGTGTCTCAGAGCTCGGGTTTGCAAATGGGTTGCGGGTCTTCGACTGTGCTAGGTGGGAAAGGTCAGAGGGTGGTGGGCTGCGTGGACATGCTATTGGGGCAGAGCAGGAGTTGGGAGCAGAGGCCGGAGCGTGGTTCGTTCTGTGCAAGACATCGATATTGCACGTTGCAATGCAAGAGGACATCAAGGTCGATAAATCAGTCTTGCAACCAGACAGGTGCCAATGACCTTGTATTCGGCAGACTGGGACATGCAGCCCGTGACCCTCAACGGCAGCGCAGACGTCGACTCCCTCCATCCTCATAGGGTCGAATATCGCAAATAATGCAAAGAGAAATTCCAAAACCCATCCATCTATCCATATCTATATCTATAATCTATCATAACGTCGTCATCATCATACTCTATAGAAAGCTACTCCCTCCAGATTCTCACAATAACCAACTTCTCCCATCCAGCTTGCACCCCACTGTTCCCAACACTCTCAGCCCTCCATCCCGCTCCCCAGCCACGAATCCTGTCTTTAACCTCCGCCGGCCGATTCTGCGCGCAGAGCAGTATATACGCGACGCCGCGGTCCGGATCCAGCACCTCCGGTATTGACTCAAGTAGTCTATCCGTGGTCTCCATCCCATCTCGACCCCCGGCGTACGTAAGGGAAAGGTAGTACGAGTCGCGCTCGAACTTTGCGCTCCGGGATAGCTCCGCATCGTTTGTAGTCGCATCAGCGGTAGACGGCATAGCGGGGAGTTCCTCGGTCGGCACGTAGGGCGGGTTGAAGAGGAGGATGTCCACGCTTCCCGGGCGGAGGGGTGTACAAAGGTCTCCTGTTACAGCAGCCAGGCAGACAGACTTCGACTTTATTTGCACATCCTCGCCCTCTTGTCGCCCCAATTGCCGCTCATCCACGGCTACTTCGACAGTCTTCTTCGTCGCAGCGCATGCGTTGCGATTCACGTCCGTCGCAAGCGCAAGGACATCACGGCGGCCGAGAATCAGTGATGAGTTTGCGGTTACGAAGCCGAGGACGACGCCGGAGCCGGAGCCCACTTCGAGGAGGAGCGGGGAGGGTGTGGACGAGGGGAAGCGGGATTTCAGCCAGGCGGATTCGGAGGCGGATGAGAGGGTGTCTAGGAACAGGTAGGAGTCTTCCGAGGGTTCGTAGATTGTGTCGAAGGAGACGTGTGATGTATCTGGCGTAGGAAGCATCTTGCGCTCCTTGGATTGAGCGGTGATATAGGAGGGAGGGAGTTTGTTGGAGGTTGCAAAAGAATAATTTGATATTCATGCGGAGAAATTTGTCTCCGCTTGATGAGCTTCAACCGCGGCTCCGTCGTCATCCTCAACTACCACTGCGCCACTAGATCGGTTATCGCCTACAGGTTGTCGAACAGTACCAGATAACATGCGCCCTCTAACCCGTCTCCTGTATGCCGCGCCTTCGAGCATGGGCTCCGCCGCCAGCTTCAGCGAAGCCCTCGCCCTCCTCCCGCCCATCCCGCTCTACCGCCGCATTCTCCGCGTACACCGCAGGAAGCTTGACCCGGAGATGCGCATCCTGGGCGACTCTTACGTGAGGAGCGAGTTCCGCGCTCATCGGAATACAGAGAACCCATTGCATATTGTACGTCGCTTTACCTTTCGCCTTCCGACCATCGTTGGGCTATGTTGGGTTGGGGAGGTGGGGTTGCGGGATGTGGTATATGTGGTGATTTGTTTGAGCATGGCTAATAATCCGTCGCTGTCTTAGATCGGGTTCCTTACGGAGTGGCAGCTGTATGCGCAGAAGCTGGAGGGGGATTCGTGGATTGGGGAGAAGCTGGATAAGGGCAAGCTGAATAAGATGAGCGGTACGTCAACTCTCTTCGCGTTGGGTTCTCGTTCCAAGGGAGCTTCAATGGCTAATGGCTGCGTTCATATGTTCTAGACCAGCAACTCGGGCAACTGTATGAGTTGATGCAGACAATTCAGAATAAAGATGGCGAGGGAGATGGGGAGAAGTAAGCAGCTGCTGCTATACCAATATCCTCTTGACTTCGAAGCTCTTAACTAGACGATTCACATCTTTGGCGTTGAAAACGGCGTTTAGCTGTAAGATAGATATACTGCGATTTCTGTACATACATCCTCTGGCCTGCATATAAGCAAGATCCACCTGTCCGAGTATCCATGTTATAAGCATTATATTCTACCGACCATGTCCATAGTACAAAGTAACTACTATAAATAGGCCATGGTCAAATATCTGAATACCTCTTTGTACTGTCGTATAGAAAGTATTGTAAACCATGCAGTAACTGCTGTGCGATGACTATCAAGACATTTCATTATATGCAGGCCAGGGTGTATATGCTTGGGCAGTCTGTAGGTAATCCGGAGGAAAGCCGATGAACCACTTGTGGATTGGCGAATCAGAACAGAACCGATAAGAAATCTCCAATTGTTATCCCAAAAATCAAGTGGAGAAACTGGAGCATATAAAGTTATAAGCCCTTATCCCACGCCCTACGCTTGACATCCTGCACTTATATACTTCCCTCCCTGAGTCCCCTCTAACAAACAACCATACAACAATCCAGTCATATCTAATCCTCATCAAGATGCCCTCCATCCTCGAAGACCCAACCACAAAGATCGCGCCCTCAGAATCCCTCCTCCTCTCCCTAAAATCCCCCTCCCTCAACACCCCCGTCAAAAGCACCACAAAGACCGACGAAAACGTAACACTGTACCCCATAACAAACGGCCCCTCGTCTCTCCCACCCTCACTGCTGAAATTCCTGCACTCGGAGTTCAGCGCCGAGATCGAGAGAGGATGCACGTACCCCATGGAAACGCCGATGAAGCTTGAGGCGTTTGGCGAGTACTGGTTCGGCATGTTTGGGGTTGTGGCGCTGCTTGATAAGCCCGATGGTGAGGGGTTGAGTGCGGAGAGCGAGAGGGACTGGGAGAAGGAGTGCCTGGGGACGTTTTATGTCAAGCCGAATTATCCTGGTATGTCTTTACATCTAGTCTTGGTTGTGGTGGGAAGGGTGTTCTCGCTAACGGGGACAAGGTCGCTGCTCGCATGTCTGCAATGCAGGATTCTTGACGACTAATGCGGCGAGGAATCAGGGTGTGGGCATGGTGATGGGTAAGGCATATCTGCACTTTGCGCCGTTGCTGGTAGGTTACTCAATCCAGAGCTCCAGGGGTTTAGTGCTGATGAATATGCGGCAGGGCTACAAATACTCCGTCTTCAACCTCGTGTTCGAGAACAACGTTGCTTCTGTCAAGATCTGGGAGAGGCTTGGGTTCAGCGTGATCGGACGTGTGCCGGGAGCCGCAAGATTGGCGAATAGTGAGGCCTTGGTTGATGCATTAATTATTGGAAAGGACCTGGTAGAAAAAGATGTAACAAACAAGGCTTAATTCATAACAAATTGAAGAAGACTCCATGCACCGAATATAAAGTATACATTGCGCTAAATAACTGGTATCTCTGCAAAAGGGGAATCATCGAAGCAATCTGGTAACTCGAAAGACCATGAGATAATACAGGGCGGAAGATGAGATATGAACTCTGACACAGCAGATGATAGACAATGCGGTATCGACAATACGGTAGACTCCCGGCACTAACCACGCCAGGGAGGCCGTTCCGCAAGCTTGCTTCGAGTTGATGGGGTATTGTCCTTGTTGCGGTTCCGCGGCAAAGGTAGCAAACTGATGCGGCGGCTTCCCGAGTGCCCGAGGGCTGTTCCAGGCCGAGCGGCTTTCGTATGGCTCTCACTTCGGCCCTGGTCTTGAGAGACACTGCGACTGAAGGATGTCCCTGCGAAGCTTTGTCGGCTCCGCGGCGCGTTAGACATATTCTCCGCTCCAGCCGGACGTCGGAGTTTGCTATAGGGAGGAGGATCCAGGATGGAGCGGCCAGGCGACGGCGAGGCCGTGCGACCAGGGCTGCGCAAGCCTAAGCGACTTGATATACGACTCGTAGACCTGGCGGTGGGTGGCACAGGGGACGCAGATGAGTCCCGGGGCGGAACCGTCGATGAAGAGCGCGTCTTAAGAGGGGTTGCGACTGGTTTTCGCATTGACGGCGTCCAAGGCTTGTTGTACCTATGTCCCACATCCAGATCGTTGGTATTGGTGCTGCCGTTCCATCGTGGTCGGTTAAGCATTGCGGGTGAAAGTGCAGGCTGTGGCGTTTTTCGTGCAGCTGGCGTGGGTGACGGGGCCGTCAGTGTTGTCTTCGGAGTGATCTTAGGATTGCTGGACTTTCTGCCAGTCAGATTAGAGGCGAGCTGCGGCAGTCCTGAAACTCGGCGGCCGGTGGACGTCCGAGCAGCTGAGCCAACGGAACTGCCGCGCCGACTGGTCTTGTTCGCAGGCGTCATGATGACCGATGATGCGGGTGAGCTGCCTGGGGTATCAACAAGACTGCTCGTGGCCGGACTGTCTATCGTGAGAACGGTGGAGATGGAATCACGCATATGCTGCGCTCTAAAGTCTTGAATATCCTCTAGCGACGCGTCCATCACCCGGATGCTAGCGCTCAAGGCGTCGACTTTAGATGCCATGTTTGCGAGAAGCCGCAGGATCTCGCCATTAACAGTTAGTCTGTCTTTAACTCCCTTCTGTGTGATTGTAAGCACTCGCTCGATGGCTGGGACGTAGTGCTGTTTCTTGGCCTCGTAGCTCTCAATTCGACTTGTCATGCCTGCAGGGTTGTGTAAATGCATGCCCGTCTCGATACCCTCTTGCAGCTTCGAGATACTTCTCTCGACAGATTCAAACATTTTCTGTGCCTGGGAGCCAGCATTCCGGAAGACCATGATCCACCGGTCTTCCTCCAACTCTTTCCTCAATGTTTCGGCATCTGTCTGCAGATTCTTGTAGTCCTTCTCAAGTTTGTCGCGGCGCTCTACTAGTTCGGTGCAAGCGGATGGGAAAACTCTCTCAGCGCGTGACTGGAACATGGAAAGTCTCATAGGCAAGAAATCAAGCGAAGCGCGCAACGGCTGGAGGCGGGCGAAAAGCTCCACGAGGTTCGAGTGATTTGAATCGTCCTGCGGGGTCTGAATGATCGGCTTGTCTAAAGCAGGCGGCGCAGGATATAGGGATCCCATGCTGGAACGCTTGTTTGACATTCTTCCACCGGAAGGTGTCTCTTCCACGATGGTCTCAAGTTCGTTGATATCCAGTCCAGTAGTGTCCTCGTTCGCCAAGTTAAAATGTCGCTTTGCTTCCATCTCAAATACCAGCCCTTCCAGCTCCTCAACTTCTTCGCCCACTTCGCCGAGAACACTGTTCCATAATTCCTCCCACTCCATGGCCAGTTCCACCTGCTCCTTCACTGCTCGAAGCCGCGACTTAATCTTCGCCCAGCTCTGTAATATGGTGTCCATCTGGCTAACAATCGTCTCCAAGCTATCGGTACTGACATTGGCAATGTCCTCGCGCAATTGCACATCTTCAATGGCCTTTACGTAGACATTCACCAGGCTCTCAAACTTTGTGATTGCTTTGTCCACGCCATCAAGACCTTCGCGTCCAGCGGCGGCCGCCCAGACCACATCATCCTCCGCATCCAAACCGCTAAGCACACTAGATGCCTTTCTGATCCATATTTGAATCTGTTCAGCGGCACCGGTCAAAGCTTTTACTGCAGCCGGAGCGTTCGATATCGATGCGATGCTAGCTTCAAGCGACGAGGGCTGCGGTAGGGAAATCGAGGTGAGTTGGGAAATCTGATTGCTAAAGGAGGATCGGGAGAAGGAGAAGATCGAATTGGTACTTGAGTAGACCGATGACGTCCGTTGTAGACCGTGAGGGTTAAAGTATGACTGGGTAGTGGACGATGCGCTCGACTGGACAGGAGGGGAGTCTTTCGGGGGCGGGGGAGGTGCGCCGGTCGCTTCGAGCTCGCTGGTCTTCTGAATGTACTTTTCGTAATCTGTCGGGCCCTCGTTCTGGTCTTCCACGTTAGAATCACTGATTCGTGGGCCCAGCGGTACGGGAGCAGACTCAACAACAGACATAGCTGTTGGTGTATCTTCCACTTCTTCTTCTCCTCTTGTTTCTAGGTGATCGGATGAGGCGTCCTGATCCAACCCAGGGGTCGGATCTGCGACCGGTGATTCGGGCACGTCCGAAGGTGGTTGTTCCTGTTGTGTTTGTTGTTGCTTCTGCGCTTTGTTGACAAACGAGATCCCATTCCACGCGCGGCCTTTCTTCTCAACTTTGACCGAGACGTGCTGGTGTAAACTATCCAACTCCTTAATCTGCTCCTCAGGAATCCGACCGACCGCACCAGCGTTCCGGGAAGAAGATGCTGTTCTGGAGCTCCCGTCTAGTAGCTTCACGCGTGCGGCCAAGCCGGGCGATAGGCGGCGGAGAATGTTAGGGCGGATGAGAGACTTCGGAGACTGGGCGTCGTTGCCGTCGTCTTCGTGGACGCTGCTGCTGCCGATGCTCCGAATACTTCGCAGCGAGGATTTCGACTTGATCCGACGTGGTGTTGCCGACTCATCCGGAGAGGAAATAGAGACTAAAGGAGGAGGAGGTGGTGGCGGCGGAGAAGCTTGCGTCGTGTTTACGGACGTGGACGTGTCTGGAGCCGTATCCGAGAGGTGAGTGCTAGAGAAGATGGCACGCATCGGTACGGCCACACGCCCGCTCTAGCCCGGAGGATCTGGAGGGCTAGAGGACTGAAGCGGGAAACGAAGAGAAGGTGAGAGTTGCGCTATGATGCAGTTGGGTTGGGTGAAGAATGCGTCGTTGCCCAAAGTATGCCGGCCCCTATAAGAATGTTTGTCGCTGTCTGAGTAGAAGTGGGGTGATGACTGTAGCTGTGGATGAGCTGTTCTTTTCTGCTTTCTGAGCTGAAACGAACGGGCTACATGGTACTCAGAGATCCGGATCGAAGAGGAGAGTTGCAGGAGAAAGATCAGAGAGAGGGGAGACGGGGAGAGAGCCGTTACTATCGTTTAATTATCATCTCCTTGCAGTTCTTCACTTGCTGATCGCCACCACCAAATGCCTGGATTCCAAAAGTGGCTCTGAATTGCCGCAGGGTCCGTTCAGGGGATCAGCTCCTTTCTTAACCACTGCTTTATACTGCGACTAGCTTTCCCCTTCTCTCCTTCAGACTGCACTCCTGTGTTTCTTTATTCTATTCCATCTCAAGGGTTTGTGGCAGGGAGCATTCATGGTAGCGCAGGCCCAAGCATTCCTATCCCATGGAACCCCTTCTCCCCGAGCTCATACTCCCATGTAATTCTACCATTCTACCAAAAAATTGAGACGAAACAAGTGAATAATGTGGTTCAGGACATCGGCAAACATCCTTGTTATGATGTATATATATCTAATCTGACCAATCACCAAATAATGCAATGTGGCACAGTAATGTACGAGGTGCAGACTCAGACTCCAAATTCTCGTCGCCAAAACTGTCATCGACAAGTAAGGGGTATCAAATACAGGCAGTGTGGACTGCAAACAAATGTCATCCTGAATCAAAATACGTGGTCCCAATGACCACGTCCCAAAGAACCCTCCCGTCCAAGCCACACGCGCCGTAAAAGAAGCAGAGTACGAAAACTGTCAAGAGGTCTTCACGAGCAGCCCGTCAACACTAGCTGCAGTCGCCCGTCTCCTCAAGACCCGCAGGTCTTGCGAGAGCTCTTCCCGGACAGACTTACACCAAGCCGCAATGGCCCTGTCGAATTGGTGCCACGCTTCGTCACTGCTGCCGTAGACGACGCCCATCACGTCCACTTCGAGCTTCGTCTCCCACCGGAGTTCAGCCGCCTTTATCCAATATCGGAGGTTATCGGCTTGTCGATATGGCTTGGCAACGTCTTCATGGAAGGTTTTGATCTCGCCGAAAGGTCGCTTTGATTTTCGGACCGCTATGTTGTGGATCCGAATTAGATCGCGGCCGTCGCGGAAGTGCTCTAGCATCATAGATGGGAGTGAGCTATTTTCGGGCTCCGCCCACGCTGGCAGTGGTGAATCCGGACCTGTCAGGCTGGCCAGGAATGCCTCTTCCCGTTGCCGTTCCCGACCGGTCCAGTCGCCTTCAATCCAGGTCCACGATGCTCGCTCCTTCACTTCCGCGTCTTCAAGCTGTGCCTCTTGCGACAGCATATCGCGCACATCGGACATCCACCCTAAAACCGCCTTCTTCTCCTCTTCCCGGAAGCCGCCTTCGAAGTTGCGCCCCGCCCAGCGCTTTAATACCTCCAGGACATTGAACAGATCCTGTCTGATCTCGCGTTCGCTTCTTATGGATGCCAATCGTTCCGGATACTCGTGAGTCGTATAGTATATCTTTGCTGCGCGAATTGCAAGCGTGACGACATCCAAAATGCGCATACCGTTGATCTCATCCCAACTCTGCCGAGCTGCAGCCAAATCCGCCTGTCGTTGCGAGTTACCGTCTGATTCTGCATCGCCGTCTGGCGAAATATTAATTTGTGGTGGGAGAGTGTCCGGTGACGGCTGGTCCTTGGATACCGTGTCGATTTCTTTCTGTGCTTTATATATTGCATTCAGGAGATCTCTCCGCAACTGCAGCAGATCTGGAGGCGGCGGAATATGATGTGTCTTGATGCTATAGGTGCTGACAGTAGGGGGCAGCATCACTTCATCACCGTCTTCAACAATATCAAATGCATCCTCCCCAGAATCGGTATTCACCTCCTCCGTCGGGCTCATCGAAAGATCATCTGTGAAACGGGCATTCGGCGTCAAGAGTAATCGCGGGGCGTCATCCGGATTTTGCCTCTTCTTCTTGTATTCTCGCGCATTGCCGCCTTTGCCGTCTAGCAGGCCTGTCCGAGCGAAATAGTATTGCAAATGGGCGATGCTCCCCAGGCTCATGACGCTCTCCCGGTTTTTTGCGGAGGCGGCGAATTCCGCCCCCTGAGGCCGGATATACCCCCGTCTCCGTGTGGAGACTGACACTGAAGACCTGGCATCTGCGGAGGTGGCAGACGAGGCCGATAACGAAGAGACTGTAGAGAACGTACGGACAGGTGATGGGCAGGACGAGATTGCGGGCGTTGGAGAGACGGAGGGCGAGGGCGAGGAGTCTCGGACGGGAGGGGCTGTAGCATCAAACGCGGTAGGATCCTCCATTGCGACGCAGTATGTTTCGGTTCATACGATGACAGTAGTAGACGTTTGATAAGTATAGACGGGCTGTGATCGCTGTATGTATCGCAGGACAACAATTGACGAGAGGACAGGTGGTCACCGGGGAAGAAATAACGGTTAATGTAAGTAATTAAAGGACGGTTTCCTCGGCAGACGAACAACGAAATTGGCGATCGTGACGGATCTGCAGGCGAGAACAAACTTGAGACGTTCGAAAGGGGGGGTTCTTGGGCTTCTTTTTCGGCACTAAAGGGGAAGCGGGTCAACTATTCGATAGTAGCGTCTCTGTTTTTCAACGTCCATCGCGCCCTGTTAAAGTGGTCAAAGAATTGTGGATGCGAGAGTGCTTTAAAAAGAAACATCTGGCCGTCGGCATTTGGACCGTTAATTGCTTCTTCGATCTGTTTCGTCCCGATGCCCCTGACGGAGGATATGCCGTGCAATCTGCTTGATCGCCATCCCGCCACGCGAGGTGGACGAACACCGCATCGCGTCTTGCAGGCCGCACCAATCCGGTTACTAGCGAAGGCCGCGGCGCGCAGCGCCGCGGTCGGAGCTAGTAAATTGTTTCCCTTAGTAATTTAATATTAATAAACTATTAAAAGGCAAGCTAGTTCCTATTAATACTATAGCTTATTTTTTATAGTACTAAAGGGGATTAATTTATATAATAATTTATTTTTACATGGGGGGATATTAAACTTAATTATGCACTAAAATATTTTTATCCCGCGTGATTAATAGCGTGTAAAGTAATTAAGGCATGGCACTATTTTTTAATTAAAAAAACCCCCTGGTTAGTTTTAGTACTATAATCCCTAGTAATATATTAAGTAAAAAAGCTTTAAAAAATAATAGCCTTTTTTAGCAAGAGCTAAAAAGCCTATTAATAATACTAGTAATTAAATTTTAAAACTAGCATAGTTTTTTAATAAATATCCAGGGGAGATGTCTCTTAAGCCCCTGCTAAAATTTACATGTGGGCTTTTAAGAGTTTAAAGGGTTTTAGGGGTTTAAGGGTTCTAGGGGTTTAAAAATTCTAGGGGTTTAAGGGTTTTAAGGGTTTAAGGGTTTTAGGGGCTTAAAAGCTCTAGGGGCGATTTATAAATTACTAATTATAAGCCTATTTATTATAAGTATAATAAAATCTTTTCTTAAATCTTTAATAATAGTAAAAAACACACCTATATTAAATAAAAAGTTTTACTAACTTTTTAATATACCAGGGGCTTAAAGGGGTTCCCTGCTAAATAGGATTATTATTAAATAGTTTAAGGGTATAACTATTTTTATAAGAAATGTTAAATTTTAAGGGGAAGTATAATACTATACTAGGTATAGTTTAAATATCCTAATATATTACAGCGTGGGGGGATAGCTATAAAATTTAGTTAAGCTATAGCTACTAGTTCTTAGGTTAAAATTACTTAAGCAAGCTAACTAGGGCAGGTATAAAATATAATATTAAAAAGGCTATTTATAGCCCGGGGTACCACGGGCGGTACCTATTTATGCTATATTTTTTAAATATATTATTAAGAAAGTAATAACTATATAAAGTTATGATTTTTATTACTCTAGTATATAAAAAAAGTAATAGGCCAGGTATATTTATAAAAAGCATAAATTTATTAAATTTTAGGGGGCCAGCCCCTGGGCTAAAAGTATTTATTTAGTAGTAATATAAATTTAGGGGCTGGCTTTATTTTTTAATAATAATAGTTAAGGTAATACTTATTATAAAAAAAAGCAAGGCCCTAACCAAAGGTTATAAATAGCTGCCTTTTAACAAAAAGCATATATTAAAACTAGCCTAGTAAAGCCCTAAAAAATAGCTATATAAGCACCTAGTAAAAATATTTTATAAGTTAAAAATTATATAATAAAGTAAATTAAAATAAGCCCGTGTAAGTTTTTTAATATTAAAGTTTATAAAATATTAATAGCCTATACTTAGTTACCTACTTAATTTACCTACTTAGTTTACCTGCTTATAGCCCTCCAGCCTTTAACCTATAGGCTATATCCCTTTTTATTTTATATAATTTTATAGCTAATTAGTTTCCAAGGGATTAAAGGGTTACTAAAAATTAAAAAGTTATTAAAAATTAAAAAGTTACTAAAAATTAAAGGTATACTAGGGATTAAAAAAGTTCTAAGGGCTGTTTATATATTAATAAAGTAATAAATAAATATACCTATACTAGATAAAAAGTCCTACTAAGTTCTTAATATACCCAGGGGCTTAAAGGGGTTCCTAATTACTTATAATATTAGTAATATATTTACTAGTATTAGGGGTGGTTCCCGGAGTCCTAACTTAAATATTTAGCCCTAAGTATTTTAGTAATAAAGGTATTTAAGAAATAGTTATTTATAAATAGTACTAATAAAGTAGGGCCCTTGCTAAATATAATAGTAAATAAATTTAATAACTAGCAGGGACTGCCTTATAAACCCTAACTACCTAAAATATTAAGTACTAGCTTATTTAGGAAAGTGTCTTACCTTTTTTTATATTTAACCAGCTGTTATGCGAGCTAATAGGCTTTAATTATTAAGCTTTTAATAAGGTAAATAACTTATTATTATAAGGTAAACCTAAGATATAAAGTCCTTTTTAAGGCAAGAAAATAATATAGCATCCCTAAAAGTAGCTATCCTTTAGGGCATGGCTTTTATATATACTATACTAGTAAGTTTATTAAATTTACTATACTTTAGCACTATATTTTTATGCTAGTATTTTAAAATATAGGTACCTAGGGTTTATAAGGTTATTTACCTTAAAAAATATACTAGCTAAAGTTTATAATATATTAATAGCTAATAATACTATTAAAATAGCTAGCTTACTTTAAAATTACTTATATAATTTAACTTTAATATTTTTTATAATTAAATTTAGCTTTAGCGCTTCTAGCTATAGTATTAAGGTAAGTTAAAATATTAAAATTAAGTTAAAAAACACTTACTACCCCTATTTTATAGTATATATAAAAATACTAAGGTACCAAGGTCTAAAAGCCATATTTACTAAAATAATAAATATGCATTATTTTAGCGTGCTATAAAAAAAAATAATAAGTTAAATTTTTTTAGCTAGGGGCTTATTTTTAATAAATATACTAACTTAATAACCGCTGGTATCACACCTAACTAAAAATATACCTTATATTTAATAGCTTTTAAATTACTAGAATAGGGCTTTAAAGCCCTAAACCTTTTAAACTTATTATATTAAAGCTTTTTTTTTTAAGTATTATACCTTTAGGCGTTATACCTTCGGGCATGCCTTTAGGCATGCCTTTGGGTATTAGGGGTTAGCTTAAGGCCAAGCTAAAAAGGGTTATTAAAATAATAGTGCTTTACTATTAGCTATATACTAATTAACTAAAGTTACTATAGTAAAGATTTCTAGTTTATAAAAAATATATATCACGCCTAAATGCCTGTTTTAGGTAGTTATTAGCTATAAAAATTTAATCTAAAGGGTGTTATAAGGCTAAACAAGTAATTTTATTTTAATTTAAAGTTTAGGGAGTAATACATTATTTATTTTATATAAAAGGGTAATAAATAATAAAGGGTTTTATTAATACTTTAAGCTATGCCCTTATATACCCCCCTTATATAATAGTAAAGGCATAAGCAGTATATTATAGTAATATAAAGTAATAATAAATAATAATTTTTAGGTAGCCATACCCTAGGTTAACTAAAAAAATAGTAACTAATAGTACTTTATAAGCGCAAAGGCATAATATTAATAATAACTAATAGTATTAATATATTAACACCTGGGAATAAGCTAATATATTAATACTTAGGAATAACTTATTTTTTTAGCTAGCAAGGTTTAGGGTGGCCTTGCTATATAAGGGACTAATAAGCCCTATTAAAATATATTATACTAGTTTAACTAGTTTAAACTAATTAGTTTATTTAAGTATAATAAATAATTAATAAATTTAAAGTTAATAAATTTAAATGCTTATTATTTTTTTTTTTTAGTGCTAGACATAAACTATAAACCCAAGGACTTTAATAAACTAAGAACTATTAATAAACTAAAAAAAGCTAATAAACCTAGATCTAAATATTTAATTTTTTTACTATACTTTGCGTTACTGCAAGTGTTTTTAATTTTTTTAGTTAGCAGGCCCCTTATTAAGTTACTAGTATACCTAAGGGCTTAAAAAGGGGCGGATAATTAAAGTTACTAGTATAACTAAGGGCTTAGGGCTTAGTAGGCAAACTTAATAAGTAAACTAGTATTAAAACAAGGGTAAACTAAAGGTAAAATAGGGGTAAACTTAAGGGGTAAACCTAGTAAATAAACATGGCTTATTATAAAACATACTAAAAATATATTTAATAAAAAAAAGGCAGGCACCTAACATATATTAAGGCACTAGTTATTAAAATAACTAAATTTACTAAAAAAAAAAAAAGGGCTTGGTATTAAACTAAGCATAAAAGTAGTAAGTAATTACTAATTTTAAACCTTAAAATAGTGCTTAATTACTAACCCTGCACTATAAAAAAACTATAAATATAATATTAATAATAAAGCATAACTACTTAACTAAGTATATAATTACTTTTTTTTAGCACCCCTTCCTGCAGCCCTAAAAGTTTTTAAAAAGGTAATTTTTATAAAAAAGTTAGTAGTACCTAAAAAAAATAATTATATATAAAGCAGGCGCCCCTAATATTAACTAATAAATATAAAGTTATTATTATTATTAAGACCAGGAGGAGATAAAAAAGTATAAAAACTAAACTATTTTTTATTTTTTTTACGCTTAAGCTTGCAAGCCCTTAAGTTTTTATACTTTTATTTTTTTAACTTTTTATTTTTATTTTTTAAGGTTTTTTTATATTTTGCTAAGAAGCGCGGTAGTACTAGGGATTAAAAAAGCTTATAGTTACTTGCTTTTTTTACCTTTATACTTTTATTAATAAAACCCTTAATTTCT